AGCCCAATGAGTGTCAGGTGGCATGGGGGGCTGGGGGACACAAATCCCCTTCCAGGTACCACTGCCCTGCCAGCCCAGGCACAGCTGCCAGACTCCGGTGGAGGGGCCGGGCCCTGCTCATCTACTACTTCCCTAGAGGAAAGGTGGCGCTGGAAGGAAACAAAGCACAGTTCTGGTAGCAGAAAGGGCCTCCACTCTTGTCAGGGGCTTCAACAACACTTAGAAATAGGGTTCTGGCTCCCCTGCCTCTGCAAACTGAGGTCATGAGTGTGTATGCATGCATGAGTTTGAGAGAGGGAAGAGGTGAAAACAACTCATGCGGGCCCATGCACACTCTGCCTATCCTCTCACAGCCCAAAAGTTCCTGAACCACCCTCAGAAGGAAAATATTTTGTTAAACATCACCCAAAATGAGAGGTTTCAGTTCAGTGGAAAACCATGTCTAATACATTTCTGAAGCCTGGGGAACCGAAATGAAAATCAGGACGAGTTCTTGAGAGCAAGCGCTGGCGGTGCAGGCAGCTGCTTTTACCTCTGGTACTTAAATCTCTATACCTTCAGGAACATTTTCTCTGCTTGTTTGAAATGTCACTTCAGAAGCCAAGGAGGAACATACAAGCCTTTTGCTGCTGGTTGTGTCTGCTTGCTCTGCCTAGCAAACTCAGAGTCACAGGGGATATTACCCACCACAAACATAGGATGGCTGTCTGGCAGCATTTCAGAAATAGAGGAGCAGGCTTGCAACAGAGAATATTTACAAGGACTGTTTAACTTGCCAAAGTCTGGCACCATTAGTTGGCTTCACACAGGTGAGGAGCATAGTGCTGCCTTACAGACTCACCATTGCAACAGTTCACCTCCTCAAGTCAGGCACAGCGAGGCAAGATGGATGGGAAGCCACCAGGACAGACAAGGGGAGATTTCTTACTCACTTTACACCACTTTAAATGAACACGAGGTGTGTGGCAGAAATCTACCAAGTCTCCTAAAAGCCCAGGAGGAAAATCAGATCCCAGGGTTTGCTAAACATCCTGATGACAGCAGGAAACGTGGGTCTGCAGACAACAACACCCATCCCTGCCACCACTTCCACTGTTCCAGCATAACTGAAGCTGAGAAGAAGATGCTCTGTGCACAGAGGCTGTGGCCAGTAGGAGATAAAGTGACATTTAAAGTCGGTAAGGATATTGTCAAAGCTGACAGAACACCAAGCCAGTGTAGCAAAAGGAAAGTAAGGCCTTTGTTTTGTCCCTGGTTTAGGACTAACATCCTGCACACACGATAATGACTGTGGCAGTTTTGATCCACCTGAAAATGTTGAATGGGATTGCTTGATTCACAGGGGGTTAGCAGAGAGCAGGGGGAGTGCTCAGGAGGGTATTTTTTGTCCTTTTTGTTTTTGTTAGTAGAAACCACAACACTTCTCTGTAGTACTGTAAAAAAATCCACCTGAAGCACTTGGAATTGCTTGAGCTACTGGAGCAGAAAACCTAATGCTGCTGCTGGTGCTGCAGAGGACACTGTTCCTTCCGTTTATCTTCAGAGCCTGAAACCCACAGCAGCAGGTGCTGACTGCAGCTACCCACTGCAGTGGCCACAAGGAGCTTTTCTATATGGGGTAATTGTCAAACATACGAGGTTTAGTTTATTACCACATCTAACAGGCATGAAAGATGCCTTACAGACCTGTGAGATAATTCCCCAGTTTCTGCCCAGCTGTGGTCCAGATCTGTACATTTGGGTGGACTGGAGCCGAGTTGCTGGGAGTTTCAAAGTTTGCAACTCCTGTGTTCATGCCTTTTAGGACATCTGCTCTTCCATGAACACAGATAGGGTAGGTTGGTCCCTCCCTCAAGTTTGCCTTCTTCAGGATGAAAGACTTGGGAATGGGAGGACGGTGAGGGTTCGTGCAGCATGGCAAAGAAAACTCTCTAGTTTATGGATCATTACAAAGCTCCTGAAAATTAAACTATTTTTCATATGCAATGGACTGTGCATGTCCTGTACAGCACTAAAAATATCAAAAGTAGTACTAACAACTAATGTGGGCCATAAATACTGACTCGTATTCATAATATTTTTGTAGGGCCATTATAACTAAACTATAAATGGGCTTTTTATTTTAAGCATTTAATATTAATCAAATGGTTATGAAAGCACATAACAAACAACTGTGACATACTCATGGCCTAAATAATAAAAATGAAATGGGTGATGAATTCCTGTGAAAATTTAATTTGCAAAAGAAAGAACGTTGCATTAATAAGGCATAATTATATCATCAAATATTAACCATTATTTGCTGGAATCCATTTTATTTTTATTTTGCATAATAAAACAGTAGGCACAGAAAACAGCAGGCTGGGCCCCATCTGAACTCTTTGTGCCCCCAGGTCGTGCAGGCACTGCACTTGTAAATCAGTTTGCTGCTTTGTTTCACTGTTTTCCTTTAAAGGCTCCAATGCTGCATTTGAAATTCTGACATGCCCTCTTTTTTGATACTCAGTACACACCAGGATAGTTATTTCAATCCATGTCTCTATGGAGAGTAAAGTGGCCCAACATCCTTTGCAGATCCAGGTCAGTAGATGAACATCCTATCGTGCAACAGCCACCTTCATTTCTCCACCGGGCACTCCAAGGTGTTTGTCACCACAGAAGTGGTGAGAAGACAAAACCATGCTGAAGCTGTCAAGCTGATATTACCTTCAGTTCAATAGCCAGACTGAGGCTGCTGGTGGGGGTACATTTAGCAGAGGCTGAAAGCAATTGATGTGGTGACACCACCCTCCATGTGTTATTCCTAGTCATGTGCTGAGATTTATATATTTCCGACAGGTCTGCCAATCAAAGGGACTGGGACCTTTCCTGAGGTGCTGAGCAGGATCTAGTGGGATTTCCGTACAAACAAGGGCTTGCAGGCATGTCCTCAGCATCTAGGCAGGGTCAGAAGGGAAAGACCAGCCTGGAATGGGGGTCTGTCTTCAACTTGAATCGAAACCTTCCTTTCCAGGATCATTGTTGTTCCATTGGCTTTCACCAGGTACAGTTGTTGCCGCCCAGTTTTGTGTTGCACTTGGTTTAGACAGCCTTTGCTCAACTCAGCCAACACTAGAGAAACTCAATGGGTTCTTGGTTTTGTTTTTTTTTTAGGTTAATTTGGAAAACTTCCCTGATTATACATCTGCTAGCGTAATTTACACCACTGAGGATTGGACTGATTAGAGAACCAGTGAGAATGATTAATTTTATTAATTGAAGGCAGGGCTATGAGTGTGCTGCAACCTGCAACTGAACTGATATTTCCTTTAATTGTTCAGCTGGGTGACTGGCAAGCCTGAGGTGAAGCTACACAAACTCACTCAATAGACGTTTCTGGTAGCCCAAGCTTCAGTGGTCCTGCCAAGCCAAACCAAGCCTCACTTTTCTGCCTACAGGCTTGAAGTTTAACACCCCAATGCACGCATACACAGATAGGAGCAGCTTTTTAATTTTGGATGGAGCCATGCCTATGTCAGGCGCTAGGCTCTAATGCCAGTTACCTGCAGCACCAAGGTGCTGAGTGTGGAAGGATGTACTTTACCACTATCTTTAGGGGGCTGCCATCACTGGTGGCAAACCCACATCCCTCCCGTGTCTCACAGGCAAGGGTGTGCACTGCCCCAGTACTGGGAGAGGCTATTGGGAAGGGAGAGCAGCAAGCAAGCAGACAGTGCTGGATCATGCTGCTATTATATATACCATTAATGAGTAAAGTCATGGGATAGAAAACATGTGTAAAATCTGTCGGAAGAGAGCGGGGCATGGTGGTAGCCTGAAAGATGTTGAAAGTAAGGTTGAAAGGACTAGTTTGTCCAGGCTGGAAGAGTGGAGGATGAGGGCAGACATGGCAATGTTTCAAATATGTGAGGACTGCCATTAGACCAACTGGTCTCCATGTAGGCAGAAAAGGTGTTTCTTGGTGAGAGTGACCTGGGTTATAGCTAAAGGAAAAACATGATGCCACCAGCAGGAGAAGTGAGCCCTGGTGGAGGGCTGTTCCCATCTCCAAAGATATTTTAAAAAGGTTAAACAAATATCAGTCAAGGATATCAGACAGGAAGAGCGGGAATGGGAGGGGAAGAGGGGCTGGCTAATCCCTGGAGGTTCCTCAAGCCATACATGTCCACAACTCCTGTGATTCAGGCTGGGGCAGTGCCCAAAATGTGTCTGGTGAATTCCATGTGTCCAAAGTGACTTCTCGTCCCAAGTTGTATGCTGTCCTAAAATGGTCCTTGATTCTTGCAGAGAGGTCATGCCTCTTATAAAATGGGATATTTAGGTCATCAAGAGCACCTACATGACTAAAAACATGGGCTAGATTTTTAATATTTGAAATTATTTTTTGCAACCCTTCTTCAAGCCTGTCTGAGTTTTACACTCATTCAGATCAAAGTTTCTTTACTGGCATGGCTACAATGCCTGTACTGCCAAAGCTAACACATAATACAAATTAAATGATAAGTTGTATGAAATATTGTTTCATCTGTATCCAACACTAATATTGTAAGATGTAGAACCCTAACCTCCTTCCTCAAAAATAAAATAAAATGAGACATGCCAAAAAAGAGCTGCCAGGAAGAAAGTAGAAGTATTGTGCTGGGCATTAACTTAACGAGGAAAGGGGGGTGAGGTTAAGCTGAATGAAGCTGATGTACAGAATAGGTCAAAGTAGACAATGATATTATTAAAAATGATGCTGTTTCAGGCATGGGCTAGTTAAGTTAGGAGATTAAAGTGCAACGGACTCAGAGATGTTGGAGCTAGAAGGCTGCATTCATACAAGGAAAGAAAATGTCTTCAGGTGGTGTTTTTTCAGGCTCAGCTAAATTCACTCACCTTTTCTAGTCCTGCTTCGTAGATGTGCCCTAGGGGACCCTTGGCACTCTGAACAGTGCTGTATTGGATAACGTTCATATTCTCCTCCCAAAGATGCATCAGAAGTAGCACACATACACCAGCATGTTTTACTCTTTATTATATATTTAAAGAGTCAGATCTTCTGTGAGGAAGGGGAGCTTAAGCAGAAAGAAGAGTTGCACATCATGATTGCACAGTGAAAAAAAATGAACATACGGCTTCGCTACCTGCTGTCCTTGCTTTAAGCACCCTCTGCCTACAGCCAGGTGGTAACTCCCCGGACGGCTTGTGTTTCTGCTCATTCGCCATTGTCTCTGGGCTATTTCTTGCTCTGTTTCCCCAGTTGGCTGGGTTGTGCACCAGCGCCTTTTGCGGCAGGTCCCGGGAGGCTGGGGGTGGGGCTGCTCACCCCAACCCACCCGCTCCCAGTCCTTGGGAAGGGTGGCAGAGCGTCGCGGAGCAGGGAAGGGTGGGCAGGCACGGGAGGGTATATTTATCTCACAAGGAGAAGTGCTATGGCATGACATCAGCCTAGCTCCCTCCTCGCAGCCAGCCTGTGCTCTGCTGCTGCCCTGTGCCTGCTGCCCTGGCACCGCTCCGGTTATCCTCCTCCAGTCCTCGCCTGCTGACGCAGGGGTTAGTCCAAAGTGCAAAAACAAATGGCTGAGGACCCACGTGCTCTGTTCTGCACAGGGCAAGAGCTAGGGCAAGCCCTGTCACTCACCTGGTGGTATTTTGGCAGTACTGGTGGGTATCAGCATGGGTTGGGAATTTCAGTCCTTGCCCATCTCCAGTGACAGGCCCCAGTGGCTGAGGACACGCACTGGCTGAACACAGCATTTACCGATGGTTATTTCAGGGCAGAGAGCAGGCTCAGAGTTTTGCAGTCACAAGAAACACATTCCTCTGGGTTTATCCTTCCAACTTCACCACCGGCAGCGTGACAGGAATAGCGATTCCAGCCTCTCCAGTGCAGCAGGCTCTGGGCACCCGCAATCCAGTGCAAGGCAGACGAGACCTGGCTTGTTTCACCTCTCCAGGCTGGAGGCTTTCCCCTCTGTCAGTCAGGAACAGTGCCTGACAGTCAGAATTTTCCCTCCCTGGCCCCCCAAATCAGGGGGCATTTAGCAGATGCCATGGGTATCTGCAGAGTTCTTAACTGTAAAAAGGGTCTGGCCCTACCTAAAGAGCTGAACAGAGGCAGTGAAACGTACACTTTGTATTTCCGAGATTAATGAGGCTTCTTTCACATGTGACACAGATGGCTGGGTTTTTGGCAGTGCTGGGCCCCTACCACTACTACCACATTCTCTCAGAGCATGTTGGCATGCAGCGCTCTGGAAAATTAGGCCATGTTTCTCCAGTGCAAAAGGCTTGTTGATCTGTGGGATATCAAATGTATAAAATTATTTGCACTCTGCTTCTTCATAACAATAAAAGGATGACTCATAATTACCTTCTGAGAATATTAAAATCCTAGACACAATGCTTCTTGTGCTATACAGTGGATCTGTAGAGCACAGTGTATTAAATGCTCTCCTTTATTACAGAATAGTGATGCCTAATAACTCCTAAGCTCAAGTTTCACCGCAGTATTTGTAATTCACATCCATAATAATGTTTTCCCATTTAACAGCCTGGGGCAGACGCCACAATGCGTTATACAGCATGGGTGCAAATAATGAGATAGGATGATGTCATTGTGTGGCATTCCTCCTAAGCGATCTAAAAATACCCTCTCCCACTTTCCCACCTTTCATCATTGCCTGCTCCTTCCCGCCTGATGCTTTTGCACCCGTTCCCATGGTAACAGCTTCTATTGTAGCCCAGACCCTCATGCAGATGTTGTCATTGATCCAACACCTTGCAGCAGCTTTGATGGCGCATTGTCTTCTTGTTTCCTGCTCTCCTGTATCTGTTCTCCACCATTAAGGATGGGCTGGGACGCTGCTTCCTCCTGCTCAGTGGCTTTGATCTGAAGGAAGAAAAGAGGGGAAATATTGATTGGGTTTTATTATCAACCCTAATCATTCTTGGGGTGCTTTTTGAGAGCTAAAATAATATCCTATGGGGCCAGCTACAGGTTTGCTTGTGTGATGGTTAAAATGGGTGCCTTAAATAAAACCGGTAGAGAAATCAAGAGTGATTAGCATTGGGAGATCCTAATTAAAACCTCTCTCTGACAGAGTATGGAAAACTTCTCTTTCACAGGGGGATGCTGCTGCTTTACTGTTTGCAGTCACCCCTTTTTATTTTTTCCTTTTTCTTTCTTCTGGTTCCACCCCCCACACAGACATCCCCACACCCCACACCCCCCCGGCCCCCGCCCCCTGCTAAGTGCTTAGGGAAGTTTCCACATTTTGGCCATGTTCATTGTTCAGGCTTTCCCCACCCAGGCTTTTTTCTCCAGCTTGGCTTGAAGGGAAAGGGAGAGAGGTGGCAGAGCTGAGCTGGAAAAGCTACACCATGGATTACTGCTGAAATGAAATGTAGCTGTAAGAAAGAAGCAGAGAACAAGGAAATTCTGCTTAATCACCTATTGTTTGCAGTTGTTTTGCATTCTTCACCTGTCACTCCTTGCCGGAGTCGGACGTTGTTCTCCTATGATGAGAACCTGACAGACAGATGGTAATGAATGTGTAATTGAAGACCTGGGCTTTTGCATCTGCATTATTTATTCACCTAAAACAGGAGCTGCTCTATATTTAGCAAGTGATGTCAGTGGCTTTTTTGCATCCTTAGAAATTGGCAGGGAGCCACATCTCACATGATATGTGAAATCACTGATAAATGCTTCTTTTCACTGAAAGAAAAACAGCTTAATAAATGTGGCTCTTTTCTGCTTTCATCTCTTCCCTCCCCACCACGCTCCCTTCCCCGTCTGGGATTTGTCTCTTGGTGGCAGAGCTCAGCAGCATCTGTGAAGTGGAAATCAGCAGGCAGTACCGCAGACCCAAATGAAGCCGTGGGTATGCTCGGGAAGTTGCTGCCCTCCCAACCCTCCCTCCTCTCCCCCTTCCAGAGTCCTGGGGCTCTGCCAAAGACCTAGCCAAGCAGGGCGGAAGGAAAAAAAGGGAGTGAGGGAGAGCTTCCTCCTCCAAGCAGCACAGGCTTTGTGGGAACGCTGGTATTCGTGGTATGTAATGAGTTTCAGTTGGGTTTTAGCAGGCAGGGAGCAGAGGGGACAGGCAGGGCTCCCACGCACTTTGCTTGGTGCAGAAATGACATTGTGACAGATGCTAGCAGTTATCTGTCTTGAACGTGTCTTTGGTGCGAGTGTCCAGCAACAAAATCTTACATCCACCCTTTCATGGGGGAAACACAGCTGGGTGCTTTTCCGGCATTACTGTGACACCAAAGGCTGTGCAAAAATAGCAAGTTTTAAGTATAAGAAATAGATTCAGGCGCCAGATCTTCAGCTGCTGTTACCTGGCAGGGCTCCACCGATTTTTCATGCACCCATTCATGCCAGCTGAGGATGTGATCCTTAGCGCAAATGTAGGGCAAGTCAGGGGGGTAAAGAGTCTCAGTGCAGTTCCTAGCTTGCAAGGGTATTCCCAGCCTCACAGCTTAGGGATAGTTTTCCAAAGCCAGCAGGTGCCATGCTTTCACAGCCTATCTCTATTCTCCATGGCAGTGATGATAAGAAATGTAGGGAACTGCAGATCAACAGATCCCAAGGCTACAGTCTGGGGCCTGAGTGGGTTGCTGCTTTGGCCGTCACTCACTCAGATAAAGAACACAGCCTGCCATGGGGCCAGTGTCCTCAGCAGTGCCAAGTGAGATACAAATTTAAAATAGGCTATTGACCCATGGAAACAATCAGACCATTTGCTTCAGCAATGATTTCTTGGCCGGGTGGGGGGAGAATCAAAAGCAGTTAGCATGAAGGCAAAGATTTACTCTATCATTTCCCTGCCAGGGTTTAACATAGCTGCTTCTGATGCAGACCCAGTAAGAAGCAAAGAGGGAAGACATAGCCTTGCTGCAGAGCTGCTATGCTGCAGATGAATGACTTCGCCTGTTTATTAAACAAGCCCATTCAAGTTTCCGCTCCACAGCCATTTACTTGATGAGTTTGAACAATAATGAACTAGGATTAAAAAAAAACCCTGCCCCTGAGAAATTCAGGCTGCTCCGGCAAATGGGATCAAATAAAGTTGGTAACATTCCGCTAATATTCAGAAATGACATCCATGTATCCTGAGCTTATTCAAAACAGCATTTTGCTTTGTTTTTGGTGAATAGGGCGACCTATAGGTTAAGCATCAGAGAGACATTTGGGAGGAATTAAAAAGAGAAAGGTGGGGACGGATCAGGAAGGGAAATTCTTTCAAGAGCTTAGCATAAAACATCCTTCTATAAAAGAATATGTGAAACAAGTTTTAGATGAGACAGTTGTCCTCCCAGGAAAAACATCATGAAGTTGTTACACAGAAACTCATTAAAGAAAAAAGTCAGCCAATGCCACAAGATGATATCTCAGTAGTCCCAGATGTTCGCTACTCTGGGAAAAAGGAGGAAATATTACTCTCAGAAATTCACCATGTCTGTGGGGTACTTAAGGAAGCTTGGAGTAAGTGTATAAAATACATAAAGATGCTGCTTACTGGAGTATTATATGCAGCAGCCATAAATAGTTAGCTGGCTTTTCAAAATGCTGAAGGGATCCTGATGGCCTGTACTGGGCAGGAATCAGTACCATGGCTGCTGTTGGACTGGGAATTAGGAAACCTGGGTTCATTCCTCATCATGTAATGCATTTTCTGTATGATACTGGGAGATCCTACTAGCTGTCTGCCTCTGTTCCTCTCAGTAACACCCGAAAAGGGTCATGATCCTTTGCATGTTAAACACTGAGGGCAGGGGTGGTCTCTCCTCATGCCTCCACCAGCTTGCTCGATGACAGCTGCTCTGCTCTCCACTTGGGCTTCAGCTGCAAGGAGTTTGTCTTGCTGGTGTCTGGACATCATTTTTTTGCAGCAGTGTTATAGCTGCAAGGCCATGGCACAGATGTGGGAAGTGAAAGGGAGCCTCACTGGTGGAACAGAAGGATGAGGAGGCTCCTGAGCCCCCCAGTAGGATGGTGGAGAGACATGACCAGGTGAGGACTTGTGCCCATTGTCACCCCCGGCAGTAGGAGCCATCCCGGGAGCTGCAGCCAGCACAGTCCCAGCTGCAGATGACAGGGGGAGCAGAGCCAGCCATGGCAACCCTCTGGTGAGCCTGTGAAGGAGGTTGTCAATGCATCAACCCTGAGATCACCCCTCAACATTTATATGAGTAGGGCGGCATGTGTGGCTGAGACACAGAGCTGGGCAATGGCTGTGGCCTCTCCCAGCTTGCTCCTGTTGTCTTAAAGGTTGTGTGTCTGAGGTAAAAGACAAGAACTGCCAGGCATTTGGGCAGGGTGCAGTGCTTTAAGCAGCACCTGAAGTGGTGGAAGTTGTCATGGGAGGGGTCTGGACCTGATGTCACCTAGCTTGCACCAGCAAACTCCCTACTACCAGCTGCAGGCCAAGATCACAGCTATGCGACACACAGACACAGCATTCAAACACCTAAGCCAGTTTTATTTCACACATTTCATTCTTTCAGGAGGTGTTTCCATGAAGGTTCTTGTTTCACTGCAGCTGAAGCCCTGACCGTGACTTCAGCATCATTTAACAGCCAAGGAAATGAAGTGAGAGAAGGCTGGCTTGACAGCAGGCTGGACTAGCAGGGACGTTGGCAGGTGGCCCTTAAGCAGCCAAAAGTCCATTAAGGGGCAGACTGAATCTGGAAAGCTGTGATTACTTTCCCCCTCCCTCCTGAAAACCTGAGAGATAACCTGCAAAGCTTTGCTAGTGAACAGAGGTGATGGAGAGGGTGTCCAGAGGCTGCAGCCTTTGTATATTCCTAGCGGGTTCCTGGAGCATGAAACTGCTTTCTCCAGGCTGAAGCTGGCAGGGGTGGCATCTTATGCTTGCTGGTTTTGACTAGGGGATTTAAGGGCCATCCAGCAGAGTATATAACTCTAAAACCACAAACAATCAATTAGTTTTCGTGCTCTCAATTTGCTGCACTAAAGCCAGAGAGATAGATAAAGCAATAGGATGTCAACAACAGAGCTGGGAGGTTAAAACAGATATGCTGAGTCTCCCTCCAGGGCATAACCACAGCACATACCTTCCTCTTTGGCCCACAGCAGTTGCATCTTAAGGCCTGTTAATCTGGATCAGCGACAGAGCTATTCTCTTCTAGAAGGTTAAAAGTGCTCTTCACATATTTTCACATATTTTCTTAACACAGCAATAACCTGGGTGTTTATTACTCAAGCAAAAGCCAAGTTGCTCCAATTATTTATCTTTATCTAGTGTTTTGCTTCATGTGAAGCTGCAAATGGAAAAAATACTTACATGTCCTCAAAGTTCCTAAACCCAGAGCATTTAATAAGAAATAGGCCACTAGTGACCCAGTATTCCTTCACATCCAGAACAATTTCCAGCTGAAACCCTGACAACAATGGAGTAATTCAATGCTCACAGATGTTTCATGAAGATTTTCTCAGATGATCTAGTCAGATGGATTTCACAAGTGGGCTCTGTTTGCTATCAGACAAATATGATATATACTAGATTCACCTTTACCCATAAACCACTCAAATGAGGCTTCATCAAAGAAAGTATGCTTTTCATCATGCTTTTTACTGGCAACAGAGCTGTGTCCAGAAGCACTTTGTGCTAAGCCTTTTTCTTGTAAATACTTACAGGCTTATTGCTCATCCCCCTCCCTCATTCAGGATATGGTAGGGGAGTCAGGAGGGGGGAATGACGCTTCCAACATGGTTGTTGGCCTGAATAATGGGGAGCCTTTTGTATGTTGGGCTGGGGAAGAGAAACTCACTTCCCCCATACTGCTGGAGTTCAGTCTTAATTGCAAATGCAATGTCCTTCAGTGTAATCAGTTATTCCCTTGTTCTGAGCTATCCTAAGTCCCTGATTGACCTTCACTGTCCCCCTAGCTCTTTGTCCCTCCTGGCAACAGATAAGATAAAACCTGTCAATGTGTTGGAGAGCTCTAACAGATTTTTCCTGTGTGCATTAGGTTGCAGTTGCTCCCTGACATTGTGTTGCCTGCTTGTCCAACTTTGGCTCTGATTGATGGAGACTAGGAGAAGTTGTTTGAACAGATACTGCAGTCCCACGACATGGGAAAAGATAGGGTCAGGTTAGGCTCACCAGTGTAAGAAATTAAATGATGAAGCAGTCACCCCCTGTATCTTTACTCCACATGATGAACCATTTTGTGCCCTTTCTGTATCTCTTGGCTGCTGGGAAACAGAAGACAGTATAGTGGGACCTGTGATAGTTATCTCCCCTTTCACCTTCTCCTTCCTCTCAGCCTCATCTCATCTGCCCTCCCTGCTCTTTCCTGCCCTTGCCCTTCCTATGCCTCTCCCTTAGCTCCTTCCTAATAAAGACCTTAAACTCCACCTCTTTTCACACTGACCATGGCACTGTGGTGTTATTTGCAAACTCATGTTATGTCCCCTCTGCTTCCTTATTCAATCCTTTTTATTGCCTTTCTTTCTTGAGACAGATAGCTCCTCAGGCCAAGGACTCCCCTGTGGTTCAGACCTTTACAATGCCTTGCCAAGTGCAGATCCAGTTCTGCCTGACCCCTGCACATGGGCACGGCAGAACAGAAAAAACCCCATGTGCATCCTGATCCACTGTAAAGCTCACGAGCAGCAAGCTCTGCATTAAATTTGCCTTTCTGACAAGGAGGCTGGGCTTGTCCAATGGGCCAGCCACACTGGCCTCTTGTGACCTTGCGTGCCAGGAGTGACATGGCTGGACATGAAGAATAGCAAAGAAGAGGTCACAGCAACAGTCAGTACGTCAACAATATAGGTTAAAAAGACTTGCCTTTCACAAAAAAGAGGCTCTAAATACAAGAAATAAGTCCTTCACTGAAATTTTGAGCAGCAGGGCTTGGTCTTTTATGAGCCTGTCCAATGGGAACTGGAGCCAGGGAAAACATCCTCACTTTGTGGGCCGAAGTCTCCTAATCGCAATGGACTTTGTTCCCTGGCAGGGAGGTGAAGCAAGCTGTTTGTGACATGCCTTGTGACTGCTTGGCAGGAGCCTCTCCTTCCTGCTGCCAACTGGGGATGAGGTTAGGTGTTCATTTTCAGGACCATCTGATGGGTTCCCCTTGATAACACAACAAACAAACCAAATTCCAAAGAACAGTAAGGTTGCTGCACTCCTGGAAGCAGATGTAGGAAAGCATCTATTAGTTGGCTCACCTATGAGCTGAAGTGAATGGCCTGGGCAGTGCAGTGAGGAAGGGGCAGATCTGGTGGGGTGTTTCCAGATACTTGCAGCCTTGCCCAAGCATCCTTTCAGCCTCCTAGGAGGAGACCAAGAGGGAGGCACCTGACTGGAGGTGCCTGTCAGGGTGGGGTGGGTATTGGCAGTGTGGGAGTCCTGGCCAGCACTGAAGGGAAGCAAAGAGTGCCTTTATGCAGCTGATCAGTTCTTCTCCTCTGCTGTTTCCTGGCTTTTAGAAGGTCCTTAAAGCCTGAAGTGGAAACAGTACTGCAGTGCTGGGCAGCCACTACCTGATTGTGTCCTCTGCTCTCTTGCACACTGCCCATAGCTCGTTGGGTGAGGCTTCCCCAAACCAGCAGCTCCACTGATACCACATCTTCTGGCTGGCACAGAGTGGGAACACCATGGGAGTGAGCTGATGGCTACTTCTCTGCTGTCCTGGGCTTTTAGTTTAGGAAAGCTGGTCACACAGTGCTGTGGGTGGAGGAGGCTGCTTGTCTCCTGCTCTGTCTGCCAGGTCACACACCTCTCCCTTAGCCCTCCCAGGACATTATGCTGAAAAGGAAAGGTGCCAGCAACGGCATTGGTACACATTGGAGGATGTTTAGACCCTCCTTGAGGCTTAGCAGCACAGGCAAAACTGAGTCTTGTCAGCTGAAAGTTGAGCAGCCATGGCCACTTCAGCCATAGAGCTAGAGGTGGGAGATGTGGGGCAAGACCCAAATGACCTAGAGCTTCACCCCCCAGCTGGACTAACCACATCCTTTCTCAGGCCAGCCTCTAAACAGTGGCAGCAGCAAACCCAGCTCTCCAGACTGCGGTGCAGGCACAATAGGTGGTGTGGACATGGCTGTTTCATGGTGCCCTGAGTCATCGGCTGCCCTAAGCCTGTGGCTGGGGGCCAGCCAGGCAATACTTACATCAGGCAAAAGCTGCTCCATCGCTCCCATTGTGCAGCTGGCTCCTGTGCTGGGAGTGCAGGATTGCACCATCTGTTTGTCCTGGGGGCAGCACAGGCAGCAGCAGTGCTGCTCGCTGACACTTTGCACAGCCTTTAAGTCAAGCCCTGCTCAATCTGTGGGGTGAAGCGGAGTCTGGGCCCGACCTTGCATGGTTGGCGCAATGAGCAGCGAGGGTCTTGCAGCATCAAGACCATTGCATTTCCCTGGTCTGTGGGCTTCTCTCTTCTTGCAGCCAGCCTTTGGAAAACACTGGAGCTCAGTCACATTGGGAGCCATGTGAGCTCTGGGCTGTTGCTGCCTCTCTGCTCCCGGGCTGAGGCAGGCTGACACCCGCTGTGACCTCCTCACCCTGTGCCCTTGGCACGGCTCCTGGCATCAGATATCTCAGCTTTGCATAGTTGCAACTCCCACTGAGGTGGGTCAGAGTTTTGCTTGAGGGACTGGAGCAATGGCACCACTCCGGGCTGTTGCATGATCAGGGTGACTCACTGCTCCCCGCCTCCATGCACACAACCAGCAAGGCCTGGGCTTGTCCCTGCTCCCATCCCCTTGCCTCGGTTTCCACCAAGCCTGAGCAAGCAGATCTGCAAGGGACGGGCATCCTTGGAAGGACCCTGTTAGCATGCGTTTACCAGGCTGCTCTTCCTTCTGGGTAGCAGTTGACTCTGAAATAAGGTCAAAACCTCTTTTTAAGTTGCTTAACTCCATTGCTCTGTGTCAACCAGAGAAAGAGCTGTGGGAGAAACCAGCTTTTTCACCCATGTCTTGTTTCAGGGAGGTTTGCTCCCCCTTACAGCCTGGTGGGTAGTAGGGCTCTGGGCTGAGCCATACTGGGCCTTCCATTCTGAGGGGCGCACAGGGGTTGCAGATGTCACAGTGCATACAGATCCCTATGTCTCCCTCCTTCTCGCAACAGCCCATCGCAGCAGAATTCACTCGCCATTGTCGTGACTTAGCTATTTCCCTCAAGGTTCTGGTCAGCATCAGATATGCACATGTGCAACATCCATTTAAATCCATAATAAATGGGCGCACGCATCTTGTGCAGTGACTGTCCCCCTGACTCACACAAAAACATATATTAAATGGGCTTGGAGGATTTTTGCCATCATTAAATTTCAAGGAACAAGGCCCACTCCCTCTTCCACATGCACTGGGGACCTGGGGACTTACACGTCATGAAGGACCAAACTCACGCCCCCCTCGCTGCATGCCCCCTCCCTGGCCACCTCCCCAGGATGAAGAAACAGGATTCCAGCACTTTCTCGGTGGCGTAGACTTCCTGCTGCAATCCTCCCCTCCCTCCCCAGCGCAGGGGAAATCTGCTTAGCCTTTACTTTCTCACACATGTTTCAGATGTGCAGGGGTGTGATTGTAAACAATGTCATCGGCAGTGCCAGAGCTGTCTGCTCCTGCCGTGCTCCCTTCCCAGCACCCCAGGGGTTCCCGTAACAGGGCGTAAAGCAAACAAAGCAAAACAGTAATCTGCTGTTCCAATGGCTGGGTTTTTTTTTGTTTTTAGAAAATGTTAATGATAGGTTATGTGATTACCCTAGGTTTGGCTCCACTTACTCTTTATTAAGCACATCTGGTATTTAGTAACAGTGTAAGTAGCAGGAGTTTTTCTGGCGCGCAAATGAGATTATCCAATGTTGCCATGCAGGATGGAAACTCCTCAGGGAAGCCAGTGAACTGCGTGGAGATACAAGACTTTCTTGTCGGCCGGGCATCCGGCCAGAATAGCTGAAAAATGTGGATTGGCACAGAGCTGTTGCCACGCAAACACTTCTGGAAATTTCTGTGCTCGGGCCTGCCAAATCCCTCACATGTAACATGAGTTTCTGTCTTCCTCAGCAGCCTGTCTGAAGCCTGAGCTCTCCTGAATGCTTTAAAAAGGAAAAATAATAAAAGAGCCCCCAGGCAATGTTTCAGCCCCGTTTCCAGCGCGCCACTGCCAAGCTCACAATTCCACCGAGTTAGAGGGAATTTCCTAAAACATTTGTTTGAGCTACACTGAGTGCAACATGTGGGAGACAACTGTGTTTCCTGGAGAATAAAGGAGAGCTGTCTCACTTGGTGGAGACTGCCTAACGTCTAGCTGGAAAGAAAAACCAGCCATGACAAGAAAATGGTTTTTGAAACTTGGCTCAAGAAGTGGGTTTTATTTACTTTGAATGCCTTTTCCAGTCTGGTCAATGTAGTGTATGAAGAGAGCGATGGTGGAGGGAAGCCGGTGTTTTTGTTAGGGCCCAGGGCTTGGAGTCAGGAGGTCTGGGCTCTATTTCTGGCTCTGCTGTAGCCTTCCTGTGGGACTTGGGTGAAGTTCTTGGAGGTGAGTTGCTCCAGCCTCTGAGCTTCTCCATGTGTTTAATGGGGGTATTGTTTGCTGGTTTCATGCACATTTGTGTGAACTCAGGCTCTGCGTCCAAAATTGTTAATCCTCTATGTTTCTTAAGGAAAGGACTGGGAAGGATATGAAGCAGGAAAACAAATGTTTGTATGTTGTTTGACCATGCTTGGCTCCTGCTGTTTCAAGGCGCTGGCCTTTGGAGCTTTAAACTGGGTTGCTCTGTGTCTAGGGATCTTTGTGGGTGTTCCTGACAAACCCGTCAGTTTGGGCTCTCCCACCCTTAACAATGGGACACATGCATTTGTACTGCAGCTTTGTTGACTTAGCAATGGTGCCCATGGGAAGGAGTCAGTCCAGGTAGTTTCTAGACCTTTTCACTGAGCATTGAGCATTCAGCGTGGAGACTGGCTGTGAGCAGAGGATATTTGTCACAGCACTTTAAAAGCACATTGTGTAGTTTCCATATGGCCAGTGACCAGCTCCAGCACTTTGGTGGCGTGTGCCTGTCCTTGCTGTGAATCAGCTCACAGTACAGCAGGGAATTACCTGGATAAAGCCCATGAAAGCAGTTCAGAAGCACCCTGCCAGGCGCTGGCTGGCTGGTGCCTGGTGGCTCAGCTGTCCTCTGCGGTGAACTTCTGATGCAACTTCCAGCCACAGGAAAGAGCATCTCATCCAAAGAAGTGACTCGGCTCCAAGCTGTGTACCAGCATAAGTGGAAGAGGGGATCTGGCTCTGCTGCTTAATGTCTTTGACCACAGCAACCATCCCCACCTCCAGGAAGCGCAAGGGAAGGGGCACCCAGCAGCCCTTTATCCACACAGCACTGACAAAGCTTTTTGGGAAAGAGGAGGGGATTAGTAACAGTGACAAAACAGGCATAGCTGTCCAAACGAGAAACAGATAGGTTTGGGATTTTCCTGTCTGCTGACCCACCCTTTGATAAGCCCAACTAATAACCTCCCCATGAGTTAACTTGTGCACAAGCAGAACTTCTTTTCAGCCCAGTCTTGTCTTTGTAAGCATCATTCCCATGATTATGGCTCCAGTGGCTCTAGTGACATCCACAGCTTGGGAAAGACATTTTGCCAGGCAGCTAATGAGTAACCATACAGAAAGTCTGAAGGGCAGTGAAGTGCAGGGGAATGAAAATAGCTCACAGTGTAAAGAAGGGAAGGAGCACAAGAACGGGGAATAAGAAGGCGTAGGAGTCAGAGTGAGAGAACTTGATTTTCTTGGGGAGGCAAACACTAAAGAAGCGAAAACTGAGGACGCTGGCCAGGAGTGAATGGGAATGACCAGGGGAAAGAAGAGAGAAGTAGGTAAAACCACTATGAAAAGGAGTGACATAATGAGCAAGAGAAGTATTTTTAGAAGAGTGGACACAAACCAAGACAGGAGAGAATGATGTGGAGAACATACAAAAAATCAGAGGTGGAAGGAGGAAGAGTAAGATAGAGACATGGGAGAAAGCAGGTTAAACAAAGAGACTCCTCCTGTTCTTAGGTTAATGAAGCTTCTTCTAACTAGTTCTCTATTGTGTTGCAATATCCCAAGGGGTCTGTGTCTCTTTTAACCACTTATGGCTGATCATTCTGGGTTCCATGACGAAGTAATTAGAAGAAAAGGAGGAGAAAACAGCCTAAAAGTCACCCGGATGTGTAACAAGGCTTTGTCTGAAGGACTGCTCCCTTCAGAGGGAATTGTTTCTAGAAAATAGCTGAGATGCTGACATCCCCAGTGTACATGTGGCTGGCCTCTGTGTCGCCTGGGCAAGCTGTTGAGGCTCAAAGATTTCTGAACCCTCCCCACCCACTTTGCTGCAAATGACTCTGTTCTGCTTGGGAGGGAGGATGAAGAAGGGAGGATCCCAGCAGAATTCTTTTGCCAGCACGTCTCAAAATCCCAAAGTTGGCTCTGATCCTGCAGGATTTGACTAATATTTGTTGAAAGTGGAGCAACTCAGAGTACAGGGTGGCTTGGTTCTACACCCCATTCAATGGGAAGTCAGAAAAGCAGGAGTGGATAGCAGATTTGCTTTCTGATCTGACACTCCTTTTGTTTCCACGCCTTGCTCGTGTTAACTTGGTGCTTTTTATTTACTTATTGAAGTGAGGTGTAAACATTTTACATTCATGAGGCAGATGGACCTGTCGATTACTACATCGCTAGGAAACCTGAAGCCCTGGAGTAAACATCAAAGGAGATCCTTTTCTCTGGAATTATATAATCCCTGTTATGCATACGGGAATTAAACAACACTTTGTATAGATGGGCAGGGCAGCATAGTTAATATAAGCAAGGCATGTAACTGCACTGTACATCTTAAACAACGGTTCCATGGGATAGAAAATCTGGCACAAGCAGTGCCCTGTGCTGGACCTGTGAATCATGCCCATGTGCTACCAAGCACTGAACAAGCACAAACTTACTGTGCTGGTTCAGATATGTTTGACAGATGCTGGCAGACACTGAATCAGGTAACGTCTGTCCTCCAGTCAGCATAAAACTGGCATAAACACGACATCGTGTGCTCTGACTAGTTCAACAGAAACAGAATTGTATGCTTACGCCAGATCCGGATCCAGTCCGCGCAAGGAGGTGCTGCTGCAGTGCCAAAATCTCATACTAATGAAGTTGGAAGCAGAGCTGTGTGTATTAGCTGCATGCTCTGAATTCTTAGGAGTGGCAGCAGCTCATGGCAGGGGTTTTTTTCAGAACAATCACAAAAGGCTTTTCTTTTTTTTTCTGTGGTGACAAAATTACTTCATTTGTTTCCAATAATCTTAGCATTGCAAGTACTGAATTTGTCCTTTTGTTTGCTGCATTGGTTTATTGCAGATTGTAGTCTCAGTGCAGCTCATGTTAGGATGACCAGTTCCCCTGCTCTCCATCACTGTCATATTGTCAAATGCAGTTATGCTGGTCTACATAATGCTGACCAAGCATAATGTTCACAGTGTGGCAATGAAAGTAGTTTGTTGTACTGGAACTGTCTCTTAAAATCAAACGTTTAACTCATTTGAGATTGAGGGAAATAATTTGGTCAATCAAAGCATTCCCCTTGGTTTATCTTAATGTACATGTCCCAGCAATGTGCCAGAACAGCCCTCAGTATTTTCTTGTTAAAGTTTCATGACCAAATTGAAGAAAAGCTTGGAATGATTTCTCTGCCTCTGGGGGAAATCACAGGCTCTCAACATTATGCTTAACCATCCCTGCTAGAGATGATTTATTCCTGGAGCTCATAAAACATTCTTGAAAGAGTAGAATTTTTGCCTTGTGACTGCAGTATATTGTACC